TTCCGATGTTCATGGTTTTGGGGTGTGACAAACAATCTTTTCAAACTGAGAGGTGAGTTTTCCTCACTGTACTTGTGGGTCGAAGGCACCAATACCGACCCACTAGATTATGTATTCGAGTATATAGGATGATGTTATGCTGGTTATATGATAGATTTGTAGATCTGTATGATTACCTGTATTTGCTTGATATGTGTTTATTTTTATCCGTTGTATATGTCGACATATTATGGTTGGGTTGAGGCGGTCCTACTTTGTGGTGAAGGCTAAGACACTCGGGGTGGTTTGGATAGGCTGTAGGCCGTGTGAGGCGGTCCAATTAGGCCGAAGGCCCAAAGAGCAGTCTAGATAAGCTGTAGGCCTTGCGAGGCGGTCCAGTCAGGCTGAAAGCTCATATTTGCTTGTTGTTGTTTGTTATGTTGTATGGTGGTACTTTGGGGGAACCCACTAAACTTTGACTTATGGTTTCACTTTATTGTTTCAGGTACTTCAGATGATCGTGGGAAAACGAAAGTGTGATCATGCACATCTTCCTGTTTTTGTGACAATGGATCTTGGGATACTCTGATTATGATTATACTTTTGAACAATGGCCTTTTTGTAAACGCTTTATGGTTAATGAGTTGCTTTTGAAAAAAAAAAAATTTCTATGATTTTTAGGATATTACACAATAACTTAATATATCTCTCACTCTTGTTTCTTTATAAGTTTTCTTAGTAAATATTAAATATATTAAAAATACATTTTAATTTTAATAACTCAATATATCTCTCACTGTTATTTCTTTAAAAGCTTTCTTATTAAATATCAATTATATTTAAAATAAATATTAATGTCAATATCTCAATATATCTCTACTTCTTTATAAGTTCTCTTATATTAAATATCAAATATGTTAAAAATAAATTTTAATGTCATTAACTCAATATATCTCTCATTCTTATTTCTTAATAAATTTTCTTATTAAATATCAAATATATTAAAAATAAATTTTAATGTCAATAACTCAATATATCTCTCACTCTTTATAATTTCTTTTATTAAATAATCTCTCCGTTCTAAAATTATTATCCACCTACAAAAAACCCACAGATTATAAAAATATTAATTATCATTAACTTTATTAAATAAAATGGTAATTGTACTATTTTATTGCATTTAATTCAATTATAGTTATATTTAATATTATGATAATTTAAATGATAACGAGTAGTATTTTAGTAAAAATGATATTTATTTTTAAAAATAGATTATTATTTTAAGAAAAAGAACCTAGTAACACTAGATAGAAGAAGGTATCAAATATGTCAAAAATAAATTTTAATATCCATAACTCAATAAGTTTTCTTATTAAATATCAAATATATTAAAAATAAATTTTAATGTCAATATCTCAATATATCTCTCACTTTTGTTTTTTACTCGACAATGCCAGAGTGGAACACTCAGCACTAAGCCACTAACACCGATTGATTTTCTTTGAGGAATTTCGTCGAGCACTTTGATGGCGAGTAACAGAGACGAGCCTCTTTCGTACTTGAACGCACCAACATCGTCTTCGGTGGGTGTGTCTGAGGGAGACAGTTCCCAGATTGGCAGTGCTTCTGGAAGTTTTCAGAACGAGGGATTCCTGGGCGCCTTTGACGGCGGTGATGAAGACTTCGGATTTTCTCGATCTGAGTTCCGGCAGAGCCTTCTTGTAGGAACTGTTAAGTACTACGAACGACATGTATTTTTGTGCTACAAGAAACCGCAAGTATGGCCTCCCCGCATCGAAGCCACTGAGTTTGATCGGTTGCCTAGGCTTTTGTCCGCCGCTCTAGCATCCAGGAAGTGTGACATGAAGAGACAGGTCGGTTTCCAGGGTTCACTTTACTGATCTATCTGTATTTTAGGGTTTCGCTCTCTGTTAACTTCGTTGCTATGATTAATGGCGTCCAGTTGCAACCATCGGTACAATCATTCAATTGCTATCTGTCATTTTATGTTGCAATTGATTCTGAATGTCACCGAGAGTTTCTTGAACAGTAAGCACTGTTCACCAGATACAGTGCTAGATTTTTTTCTGCTAAATGTAGCTGGTAATCAGTTATAAGCATACTTAATAATTGAATTTGATTTGGTGATTTTACTTTCAAGTTTGTTATGCATTTAGGGTTGTAAAGAAAGCGTTTCCATGGTTATGTGGAGTCATAGTGATGACTGTTTATTTGTTCAACCTCGTCTCTCACTCATATTTCACAGACTCGTCTAACTATATGCGAGGGACATGATGGAACCGAGACATCAAATGGAGATGTATTAATCTTCCCTGACATGATCAGATACAGGTGATTTCATAACCTCCATTTCTTCTCTACAAAAGATCATCAAAGTTATAACATTAAGTGATGAGTGATGAATTGAACAAAATGCAGGAGACTAACACATTTCGATGTTGACACATTTGTTGAAGAAGTTCTTGTAAAAGATGGTGAATGGCTTCCTGGAAGCCCTGAACCACTTCGAGGATCATACATTTTTGTGTGTGCTCATGGTGCAAGGGACAAAAGATGTGGTGTTTGTGGACCTGCACTTGTTTCTAGATTTAAGGATGAGATAGAATCGCGTGGTGATGAGGGTAAAGTGTCTGTTCGCCCTTGCTCACACATTGGGGGACATAAGTATGCAGGAAATGTCATCATATTTGGTTCAAATAACCATGGGAAAGTCACAGGTCATTGGTAAGTATGCGTAATGCCTATGTTTCTTCTTTTCTATGTTGAAAAATCTAAAATTGTTATTACTTATGAGTTGCATCTTTCACAGGTATGGATATGTTATGCCTGATGATGTTCCCACATTACTTGAACAACACATTGAGAAAGGTGAAATTGTAGATTCTCTTTGGAGGTAATTATGCCATATCTTGAGTTGTTTTCTGGAATGTTGGGGGTAAAATGGTCATTTTAGTTTTATATAGATGTTCACAAGATGACAAAGACAAAACCATAGCCAAGGGACAATGAAAATGTGATGACCATGTGAAGCTAGATATATCTGGATCACTGTTTATAAACTTTCTCAAAAATAGCCAAAGTGATGTGAAAAGACAAAACATTTTCTACTTAATGATTATGGTTTTGTTTTTTATGAATCAGGGGACAGATGGGTTTATCAGAAGAAGAGCAAATGAAAGCTCAAGAACAAAGGGTAATAGCAAACGGAGGTGGCAACATGGAAAGAAGCCTAAAAGCTGCCTCCACCGCCACCGCCACCGCCAGTGATGAATCCAAGGTGGAGGATGGTGGTTGTTGCCAGGAAAACGGAAGCTCCGGTGGCTGTTGCCGGAGTTCTAACTCACCGGAAAATGTGGTGGATTTTAATCTTGAGAAAAGAAAGGGAATCAAGAATCCGATTTCCATCAACATTGGTAACAAAGGAGGTTCTAGTAGTAGTGGTAGTACACCACATAAGGTATGCAGTATGCCAACATGGCTTGAGACATGGGAGAGTGAAGATGTGTATGCAGCTTTAGCTCTTATTGGTGCTGCTGTCTCTGTTGCTGTTGCCTATAACTGTTACAGACAGTTGGGGTAAAATGGTAATTGGAATTTGTAGTTTTGATGTGTGTTTGTGAAATATATGATTGAATATGAGTGGTAGGTATCAAGGGTAGTAGTAATCTGTAAACGTATGATTGAGAATCAGGTGTTTTGTTCTTGATTCTTTTGATGGTTTTGTGCCCTAGATTTTGTACACAACTTTGCATTGGTTTTGATTTGCAATATGAATAAACCTGGTTTGCATTGTATGTATTTGAATTTCAGATTTGAACCATATATGGAATGGATGCTTTCATGTTGATTAATCGGAGTGTGAGGGGTGTTTGGTTTGTAGAATCCTTTTGGAAGAATGTAAAATGTTATGGTAAGTAGGGTGCACTCGGCTTATTGTTGGAGAAATATTTTGTACATGTAGAATAGGTAAGAGATAATTTACTGTAGATTGGAGTTAGTTATGGTAAACAAAATATTATGTATTTGCAGTGTAATCATGAAACTAAATGCCTTAATATGACATTATGACCCCCCAAAATATCCGGTTATGAAGAATTTTTTTGAACTCCGTAGTTTATGATGATTACAATGGTAATTTGTGATGATTACAATGACATTAGTTTCAAAATCGGACAATATTTTGGGCATTATCAACCCTACTTATAAATCTGAATAATTATATTTATGGAGTAAATGATTCCCAACCCAATTCTATTTTTAACTTTAAATATAGTGTAATGAGTAGTATTACTCACATTTGGAGTTCATTTATACTATAGATCTTGTTTTCACTTGTGATATTTTACTCTTCAAAGTTTGAGTTTGTATATATATAGTTTATTTACATTGTTATATTTTATAGAAAAAACTCCATAAATGGTCCTTGTGGTTTAATGAAATCTGAAGTTTTGTCCCTAAGTTTCAAAAACCTCACGGATGGTTTCTGTGGTTTCAAAACTTTTAATGTTCAGTCCTTATGCCTCACTCCGTTACCATTTAGCCATTAACTTTTAGTATAATATTACAAGGGTAATTTTGTCATTTCACTTGTAACCTTCAGTCTTTAGAATAAAGAGTGCATGCCCGATTTTTTTGGGAAAACCCTTTACCTGCGATTGTCTTGTCTCTACTCTCTTCCATTATTCGTCGAATTTTCACCCTCGAGAAGATCCAAGCGATCTGCATCCAAAGATGGTGACTTGTAGATGTGGGAATGAAGCAACGAAGGTCACTTTGTGGAGGAATAGTAACCATGAAAGGAAATTTTGGAACTATTCAAGATGTGGGTTCCTTTGATGGGCTGACCCTTCGATGTTTCTAGGGGATTGGTGGTGATTCCAAGTTTGATAAGATTAATGAATCGATGTGAATGCATGAAAATTTTAACATCAACCTTTGTTTTAAATACATGACCCACCCTAGATGGTTTTACATGAACCTCCTCCCATGTGAGCATGTAGTTAACTTAACTCCTTAAGCATTCTCTTCCTATCATCTTCATGAAATCCTACAAATCGATAATCGTCAGTAGCAATAACTTCCACCTCTTTATCAACCATGTCATTCCCTACAAACCAGTAATCACATGTTGTATGATTACTTAAAATTTCATGTTCATCTACATCAACAACACTATGGAATTCACTCATGTCTGCATCAACATCAAATTGTATGTTAGTCTCATCCATATTGTAGTCATTGTCATCTGAGTCATCTCCACTACCCTCAGAAACGTTTCCACTCTTAGAATAGAAAGCCTCTCCACTATCATCACTTACCATACCCTCTAGAATATCCATTCCTGGTTGAGGTTCACAATTCTTTTCGACATTATACTCAGCAAAAAGTGAATAATCCTCTAAGAATGGTTCAAATTCATCAACTCTTGTAGTATGGGCTCCATCATCAACTTGATAACTTGGTTCCTCTACATCTTAGAGGTTGCATTCAACATGGTAACTTCCTACTTGTTCTTTAGTTTCAACTTCAGGATTGATCACTTCCTCTTAAGTTTTAATTCCATGATTAATCACTTCCTCTTGAGTTTCAATTTCATGATTCACCACATCAATGACATTACTTTTTGGCTAATCTATGATCTTATATATGACATAATAGTCTTTGAGTAATCATGCCCTTCATCCATATCTAATACTTGTGACTGCTCAAACAGAGTTCACATGCTGTTTTGATCCTACTTCTCTCATACAAGGTTTCTTTCTATTTATTTCAGGTGACACACTCTTAGGTTCTAACTCCTCAATAGTAACTTTAGAATGAGACTTAAAATAGGTAGGTACCTTAGTCTGACCATTTTTAGTATACACCCTTATAAGTATGTTTTTAGGGACATACAAAACCATTTTAAGTATATCGTGGTCATTACCTAAAGGCATTACGCCATGGTCTAAGGGGTATTCAGGGATACATAAATGGTGGTAAAGGGTCTGCTCAATTTTGTACCCTAATTCTCGAACCATGTCATCAAGTTCATGAACTGAAAATAAATTAGTGTCAACATCATCTATGTATGCTATGTTACCATCAATGTATTTCCTTCCAGGTGCCTTGGTGAAGATACCACTGTAGTATATCTTTAATGTGAAATAGTTGTCATATCCTTCTGAAAAACACAAAAAAAAAAAATAATAATAAATAAAAATAAAAATAAAGGGTAAAGTGAATGATTTCTCTTCATGAACACAATCAACGAAAAACATAAGTTTTATGTAGGATCATATCATATCATTTTGGCAAATCCTTCAAAGTTGAATATTCTCCTCGCAAACACCATATTGACAGAACCATTGTGATTCCTTCTACTTAAACACTAAATCCTAATTTCTATTCTTGCTTGTGCGATGAAAATGGTGTGCTGAACTGAAGTGAAGCTAGTTATGTTCTTGGGAGAGGGACGAGTTGTGGAGTCGACATGCAAACAATTGGTACTGAACATAATCATTTCCCTCTTAAAGAGTGAAGGTTACAAGTGAAATGAGAAAATTACCCCTGCAATATTATATTAAAAATTGAGTTAACGGCTAAATGGTAACGAAGTGAGGCATAAGGACTGTACATTAAAAGTTTTGAAACCAAATGGATCAACCATGAGTTTTTTGAAACTTAGGGAAAAAACTTCATATTTCATGAAACCACAGGGACCATTTATGAAGTTTTTTCCTTTTTATATGTGAAATTACTTCAAATGTTTGGTTATATTTATTTAACTATATAAATTTTAGAGTTATTATAACAAAAAGTTTTTTGTCAAATTTGTAAAAACTTGTAAATTGAAGGGGTATTTATAAAATCTAAAAGAGTTCAAGAAAAAAAAACATATTTGGAATATTCAATCTTTTTTTTTTTGTGAGTGTGTGTGATAAAAACGGAATGGAAAATAAAATACAGCTAGAGATTAATCTCTATTAACTCTATTTTTTATTTTAAAGGTAGAATAGAGATAGACTATGGTCGGAAGGTTTTAGGTTTATGAATTCATGATTTATTAAAAGACAATCACGCGAGTATTGACTTTTTTGACATGTAAGCCTCACAATCATCGTCATTTAGCCACAAAAGTCTAATTGTACTAAATACGCCATTAAAGCCACAATAACAAACCAACTACTAGGAAACAACAACACAATTGATTTGAATGATTTACATAATACCAGATTTCAATAGACATGATAAAAATTCATGCTTTATTGTGTGTGCTTCATCGACTATATTCGACTTTTAAGGTCAAAAACACTATTTTTCTCGTTTCGTTTCAAGGGAGTGTGAAACGCGTTTATAAAAATTACAACATAACATAACGTTACAAGATATATCTATATATATAATTATCATACACAATTGAATAATTATCAATTGCGAGTTCCAACATTTGTTTCTTCTCCCTTTTAATGTTGTTCACCATTTATCTTACCCTTATGATCATGTTCATCAGCAAACCCATTTTGGTTCTCTATCTTATGAAACTCAGTTTCTATCGTTTGAACAATCTTACAGTCCATCAGATCAGGTTCAGGGAACTCCACATGAAAAGATCCTTGCTTGAGTGGGGCCCGCGATTTTCCACCAACAGCTTGTTGGTTTATGTAGTTATACAGCTGCTGGTGGAACCCATGGTCCAATGAGAAACAAGAATCATCACCACCACTGTTGTTTCTTGCAAGCTTTGATGATCCAGACCCTTGTCTTCTACAAAAATGGGGTAGAGATTCGTAATCCATTATCTGCTCATTTCAAGTAAAATATATAACATCAGGGACTCATTCCAACATGGAAACGGAATGTAATGATCTATTCCATTCCATCGTAACAAACAGAGACTCTTAAAGTACCTTCAAGAGTTCATCTTTCCCACAACCCGAAAGCACCTGGACCTTCTTTCTTGTTCTTTCTTGCAGGAGTGGCTTCACAACCTGCAAAGATTCAAACTTTATGATTCGGGTGTAGAAAAGAATCTTGAAATCTTTCATCAAAAGTGAAGAGAAATGACAAACCTTCCAGCAAGCTGAAAATACATATGGTGCATTCACTATATAGTAGGTATCTGTCTTCTCTGGGTAGTTTAAGTCATCGATGCTAGATATAACAGTTAATAACTGCAAATTTGATGAAAATGTTTTCACATAAGATTTGTAATTAGTTCATAAACTGACTACTGGATTACTGATTTGATAGAGTAAGTAGCGTACCTTGATTTGATTGAGATGGGAAAGTTTGAGCCCAGTCATATCAAGAACCTTGACACATGTGCTTATGTGTCGTTCAAAATTTTTTGTTGCAGATGGCTAAAATGAAAGGGGAGTTGCTTATTTGAAAAGATGATGGAAAATTTATGTGGTTGAAACTTGAAAGTATTATTGTGAATATGTGATATGAACTTACCAAAATTATGCGGTCTCTGTATTCGTTTATCTGGATGTGTGATTGAACATAGCAATGAATCTAGAAGAGAAGAGAAGAATATCATGAAACAGAAGGGTATTTGGATGCGAACTTTTGTAGTGCTTGTTACAATTTGAAGAATCAGAATCAGAATTAGAATCGGAATCAGAAGATATGGAATGCTTACAGATGCTTTGTCATATGTGCTAAGCCCTACACCAACAGCAATAACAGGTCGCCCCTGGATAGTTTATCAAGAAACCAGAGAGCCATGAATATGGAAGCAAATGAAACCAGAATAGTATTAGTTGGGTGAAAAACGCATACATCTTTTGTGTAACCCGACATGCCTATAAGCTGGGATTCACGCACTGATCTGTAAAGCTCAATAGGAACGATTGGTTTCTGGGAATATAAGAAGAGAAAGTTAGCAATGATGATTACATGAAAAAAAAAATGTAAATATTTCATGAACAAAACTCACCGACAATATTTTGTCGATCTGGTTTTCAATCCTCCAATTTAGACAATCGACAAGCTGAAAAGCTAAGATGCATCAGTAGGCATGTAATGTGATAATGAGTTTTTTAAGTTTCAACGAGAATGAGTTTGATTTTAACCATTTTATGAGCTTTGGAGATGTTTCCGTCTCGTGCTTTAAGAAACCGAACAATAGTCTCAGTTGGATATCCTTGATGCAAATTCTGGAAATGAAGATCAAATTAGAGCAGTAATTATAATTAATTTTAACAGAGACCATACGAATTTGAAGTTTATACACGCTTTGGTGTATTGAGATTTGAAGAAAATGGTTCGTTTGACGAAAAGATTCAAACGCTGACTTCGATTTGAATTTAGAGACTCAGATCAGGAAAAACGATCGAAAATTATAAAAGGGGATCGCGGTTGAGTCGGTAAATATTAGAAACTATACTAACAACAGATCCAAACAGCTAAGTAGAGCAGAAATCGAACCTCGTATATGATCTTGATAGGCTCGTCAACTGCGGAAACAAATTAGAGTGTAAATCACCGGAAAAAATCAAATCAAAGAAAAATGTGAGGGTTTTAGAAAGAGAGAGAGAAACACTAACATGCTTCTATCAGATTCTGGAATTGCTTTATCATATCCTGGGTTATGATCACCATTTTCCTCTTTTTGCGACAATCAATCCGCTCTTAAGAAACCAAACCCAGTTTACCAAACTTCAATTTTCATAAATTTGTTCTAACCATTCATCCACCTGAGAGAGAGAGAGAGAGAGAGAGAGAGAATGTGGGCGTGAGTCGTGACTATGAAGAGCAGGGAAGTAGTTGGCATGCGTTCGCACATATACTTGATGAAATTAATGGCGGAAGATTGAAGCTTTTTAACGTTAAAAATGCTGGTATTTTTTTGAGAATTTGTTTAGGTAAAGGGTTTGGTGTATATTTTTTGTCATTAGCAAAAGGGATTTTATATTCTTTATAAATTTTAATAAAAAAATAAAAACTTTTTTAATAAAAACCATATTGAAATTACAAATAACATGCAATTAAAAATTACATTTTATAAATCCCAAAAATTAAAAATATCATGAAATTAAAAACTACATTAAAAACTTTAAAAAAATGACGTGAAAAATTAAGAAAACCAAGAATAAAAACATAGCATCGAAATTTCATTTTCGTTTTAGATTATATTTTTCACGAATCGACACCTTCATCACTTTAGCCACCTCATCTTCGGGGTCGAGATGCCTCACATCTTGTATTAACAACGGATATTTTGTCAGTCGGACGGTTTCAGTCATATGTTTCTCTAAAGTTGTATTCAATTGTGTTATTTGTGTTATCATTTCATTCGATCTAGTTGACCGCTCGGTTCCGAACGACAAATTTGAAGATGTTGCTTTTCCTTTTCCTCTGACTCGAGCTTTTGTTTTGTCGATTCCCATAGGAGGAGGCGGCGGGTGTATTTCTTCGATGTCGTTGTTATCATCATTAAGATTAACGCCTATGTGACCATCCGATGTCACTTGTTGTGAGCTCGAATATGAAGATGTTCGACTTCTTTTTGGTGGATTAGCAATGTCTTCATGTGTTGTAAGTTTCGTCCACCTAATGCTTCTTTTGACAACTTATCACACATGAATAAACATATAAGGCTTTAGCATGTCATCTTGGAATGTTGCATGCGTTTTTTTCAACAAACCCGTCTCACTTTCTCCTTTTGCCCGTTGCTTTTCAAATTTTGTGTAAATTTTGTTCCAGTGGGTCACGAGTTTGTTTACAATATTCCATTTCGAGCTATATTGTTCAGATGTTCGGTAATCCGGATTTCGACCCATTCCCTTACAAAACTGCTCCGTAATACGTAACCAAAATTAATCACGCGATTAACCCTTTCCCATGCCACCATCTTCGAATATGTCGACCCATACCTTTGCTAATTTCGTCTCTTATTTTTTAGTCCATCTTCTTGGATCGACATTTCATTTTTTTTTGTTGAGGTTGGTCTTCGTGTAACATCCCAAATTTCGAATCCAAAAATTTCGTTTTTAAATTAAATAATTTATAGAGTCGTTTACTGAAAATATCATAGATATCATATCAATCCGAAAACCATCATAAACATGTCTCGCATATCAAATCATCAAGCAGTAATAAAATCAGAGTACAATCCCATGAATCACATAGTACGGAAACTGATGTGCATGTGATGTGCAGCTACCACATCGACTCTTTCCTCTTTGCTGAACAGGTACCTGAAACCAAAACTGAAAACTGTAAGCACGAAGCTTCGTGAGTTCCCCCATCATACCACATACCATACAATCACGTAACATACATACTGTTGGGCAATTTTTGGGTGCCCGACCTACCCAGTCCGACCATTCTGGGGTGCCGACCTACCAGTGTCAAGCTGTTCTGGGGTGCTGACCTACCCATGTCAAGCTATTCTGGGGTGCTGACTTACCCATGTCATACCATTATAGGGTGCTGACTTACCCTTCGGTCCTAACAATCGGACTCCGGGGACTATTTCACCCCTACTACTACCACCATCACATATAACATATCATAAGCATACTGTCAGGCATATCTGGTGTGCCCGACCTACCCTTCGGTCCTAACAACCGAACTTGGGGACCTGTCCCCTCCTACTGCCACTATCACATATAACATATCATACTAGCACATAAACACATCAGATAGTAGCAACCAAACAATTATCACAAAGAAAATCATCACATTATAATCAAACTACCAGTGGGTCGGCCTTGGTGCCTTAGACCCACTTCTACCGGAAGGTAACTCACCTCGATGTCGTGTAGTATTCGCACAGTCCTTGGCACGGGTATCAACTCGTCTCGACTCCTCAATCCCTACATAACGATCTTTCTCGATTACTACGCATACCAATAACCCTTAGAGGGTCAACCCAAACCCAAAGTCAAAGTCAATGTCAAAGTCAACCTCCAGATTGCTCGACTCGCTGAGTTGGCCCGCCAACTTTGTTGGATTAGTGTCTAAGTCCATAACTATTTTGGTATGTACTTGACCCGATGGTGCATGGTCCTTTTGGGTTGCCTTCATCAAAGCAACTTGATAGGATGAATTATGGAGAGAAAGGATTAAATATGATTTATTAATATATTATGAGAATAATATATTAAAGGAGAAATCATATTGTTTAATTAATATTAGTCAAGAATTAATTGGTAATTAGTTTTGTGACTAAAAGAGATTAATTAAACATAAGGGACTGGAATTGTAATTATAAGATAATTGCAATTTGGGCTATGGATTGCCTTATATTAAGGGGTGGACGAATTCTATGGGGAAACCCATGAGAAATCGTCCAAGGCCTTAAGGAAAGGGGGCCCATGGGTTGCTTAGGGCTTAAGCATCCAAATTAGGGTTTCCTTGTTAGATAATCCTAATAGCCTCACTATATATAGATCCCTTATGACCCAAAAACGTGGCTAAGCATCCTTCTAGGGTTTCACACGTTTTAGAGCAGCCTCCATCCTCTTTTGTGACAACCCGATATTTCAACTCTTTGTAATGGCCTAATAGGTCAAGTATTGTAAACATTTTTGAGTTAATAAAATTAACTTTGATAATAAAATGTCCAAAAAGTTTCTATTTAAATTCTTCTATGTTTAAATATCATTAAACCATGATCGTACGTAAAAAGAACGCCCAAATCCGACTTCGTATATTGAAGTTATGATTTTTCCAAGTTCAGCTTAGCAACAGACAGCTAAAAACTCGAAACGGAGATCGAGCGACATTTGGCCGGAATGACCTAAACGAGAATCGAAGGTCTCGACAATGGTATTTCAACGGTAAAAAGTCTGGTAAAAACCGACGTCAGTTAAAGAAGTTATGAATTTTTAAAGAAATTCCTTAATCATGTCATTTTAATAATTAAATAATAAAAATAATTTCGGAATTTGCCAACGGAATCTAAACGAAAGTTGTAGATCGTAGTCTCACCTTCGCGGGGATATAAAGAACGTCGAAAACGGAGTTCGTATGAAGGAGATATGAATTTTTGAAGTTTGATAAATAATTTATATATAATTTTTATTAAAAATTTGGTATTATCCGAAGAGGAGTCAGCCTAGGGCCGAGGTACGCGCCGCGTACCCTCGTACGCCCCGCGTACTCGAGGTCACGGCCTCGGATCGTCCACGTCGCCCTATGCGAAGCTACCCGACCCGCCGTCCCATCCGACCCGCCCCATCCGAAATACGTAAGCAGTGACGTCCCGTACGCACCGCGTACGGGAGTACGCCCCGCGTACGAGGGCCTTCCAGCCCCCTATAAAAGGGGTGCGAGGGGTTCCGGAAAAATTGCTCATTCACTCTCATTTTTCTTGCGTTTTACCTCGTTTTCCGTGCTCGCACTACCCCGAAGTCCTGGTCATTTTTGCTCAAGTCCCGAGGGTCGATTTTACTCCCGAGATTCCCGAGAATCCCGAGAAAAATCCGTTTCCGGAGACGAAACTCTGCCGGTTTTCGATCTCGCTATCTTCAAACTTCCAAGTGAGTTCATACCCCTTTATTCAACCTTTGAAATGCTTTTAAATGTTTTAAATACTTTATGGGGGGGAATACAAGTTAAACACTTATAGTTATTGCTTAGATCACATGTGATTGCATTAATCACATGTGATTAATAACTAGGAAACCAATGATTTTATCACTGTTCAAACTGTTTTACTTCAAAATGTTTTACAAACCTCTTTTACTTATCAATGCTTTATTGTAAACTTTGTTTTACTACTTATAAATTTGCATGCCCATATATGTATAGATGTATAAATAATGTTTAAAGGGCTTAGGAAAGCCACCTGTCCTATTTCCTTTTCCTCGATTTGGATGTGGTCTGGTGGAATTTCGGGTGACCATCCGAGGGTCGTTTCATATTAGTTATATATCATATATACATGTATAGACATAAAAGTACTTCCATATTCATACTTATCAGCACATCATTAGTAAGTTACCATCGGGGTAACACAGGATCATACTACTACAATTTCTAGATCAACGAGTCAGTTCATTCAGGAGTCAATACTTATTACTAAGAGAACATATACAACGATACTAGAACAAGTAACATTATATTGCATATACACGAATACGTTAACAATTGTGATCCACTGTATGGGAGCATGTCTTAATTGTCATGACCCGAGTTGTAGCCAGAGTCTCTTGGAGGGAGAGCGTGAGTTTGCGTATAGATCTATACTGGATTGACTATCCTACACCTCGCTGCTAGCTACAGTGGGACCGACAGGTCTGCGGGTGCCAAACGTCATACCTTATTTTTCGACTATACGTTGTCGATGTTACCAGTCGATAGTATGGTGCAATTTATCACATGATACCTTAATATAAACCCGGTTTAAGGTAGTTAGTACAGCAGTAGTTCCTATAAAACAAAACTACCGTACTACAATAATTTACCCATTACATTTTGGTGATAACCTCACTTAAACTTTAATGTACAAACTATATTTTGTTAAATGATAGTTACACTTGGGAAATTACACACTTTTACATCAAACGAGCATACAAAACAGTTAAGCCTTGGTAGAGGGCTACTTTAACAGAAAATATAGGTTTTTCTGAGAGATTCAAACTTTTACAAACACTTACATACATTTACAACTCATACTTGCGACAGGTTCAAACGTTTTGATAACAAACCTCGACACTAAAATACTTATGAATTCACCAGCTTAATGCTGATAAACTCTTTCAAATAACTTGTATTCTCAGGTCATCAGTAGACAGGTACCGATGCTAGCTTTTGAGAAGATGGAGCGCATTCAAGACTCATCATACTATTTTGATTTAAATTATATTTTTGGTGTCTAAAACTGTACGGAACACGCTTGTATTAAAATTTTATATTTATGCAATG